CTTCTGCGGGATGTTGGTGCGGGGCGGCTCCTTATGCGAGTTCCTTCCCTGTCAGCTGCACTTGTGGAGGTGGACTTGCACACTTGTGGCATTTTCGTTTTGGTCCTGCGTTTTCTTTTCCCTCCTGAGGCTGTCATAGGATTGGCTTGCGGAGGTTGTAGAGGTGCTTGGGGCCGTTCCTGGGTCTGGCACCTTGGTTTCTGCTGCTAGCCTTCGGTATCGTATTCCTTCTGCGCCGTTCGCAGGTTGTATCGTGCGTTGTTACACCTCCGGCCTGCTTATGCACTGCCTGTGTCGTCCTGGTCTTTGGACAGGGTGCTCTCCTGTTTTTCTTCTCCTTGGTTGTGGCTCCTTGGGGTCAGGTTTGCTTTTCCTCGGTTTTCTTTTTGTGTTGGCATTCGCCTCTGGGGGTCGTGTGGCAGAGCTTCTTGCTCTTCTCAGGCGCAGTGTTTTTGGCTCCTATGGTCGTGATCATAGGTTTCTTCGTCTGCAGCCGTTCTCCCTTTTTTCTGGCGAATGATATACCTTGGGTTGTTGTCTCGACTTTGTGTTGAGGAGTGATTTACCGACCGCCTCCCGGGTATGTTCCCTTGTTTTCTTAGGTAGTCTTTGGTGAGGTAGCTCCGGGGAGCCGTAGGGGCTCCCCCCAGAAAACCAGCGTTGAATGTAATGAAACGCCATTTTCTGGGTAAGTCAAGGAGGCTCCCCGGCACCCTCCCGCCCTCCGGTCGGCGGGTTTTTTCGCGGTTTTGATATCCAGCCTCAGAACTGGGGCGGGGATCGCCGGCGCGGGGGTCTGGGGCTCCCCCTTTCCCCTCCTGGGGAGGGGGGAGCTGCGCAGACATGCGGCGCGGCTCGAGTGACGTCATGCTTGTTAGTTCGTTTTCCTGGGGGAGTTCTGTCCACTCGTTTGTCGATTTTTGTTGTTAACCAGAATAGGGGTTTGTTTTGTGGCGCTTACCTTTCTGGGTGCCTGTCCCGGTTGATGGCAGATATAGAATGCTCCAAATCACATGTGCATTTCTATGGGCCATTGCTCCCCGTGCCTCTCTGGGCCAGGTTCTGGCTCGTGGTCCCCGGTAGGCCTAGAACTCCACCCACATCGACTGATGCAAAATAGTTAGGGTATCCATATCAGCCATGGATAGCTCCGGGGAGCCTCCGGGATTCACCCAGAAAATGGCGTTTGATTACATTCAACGCTGGTTTTTTGGGGAGTGTGGAACGGATTAATTCAATTCCCATTATTTTTTATGGGAAAATTTGTTTTGACTTACGATATTTCGACTTACAATATATCTCTGGGAATGGATTACCATCATAAGTGGAGGCCCCACTGTATTAGCAATACAGTGACATCTCGGCTTACAAATGCCCCTCTTTACGAACTTTTCGGGTTACGAGCCCAATTTCTTTGTAAAATACGAATCGGGTTACGAACTTTGCCTCGGGAAATGAAGTTTGTTGATACACGTATGGCCGACCTAGCACGTGGTAGTACGGCGACTGCGCCTCAGTTTACCAGTGCCTCCTGCCTAGTGACAATCCCGCCTGAATTCTTTGTAAAGAATTTTAGTGTTTTTCAGTTTTTTGGGTATTTGAACATAAAAGTTATTATAATATATATTGCCATGGGTCCCAAGAAAGCAGTGGTAAGGTTCAAGCCAAGAAAACATATGTGAGAGTAACCATAGAGGAAAAACAAGAGATCATTCGTAAACATGAAAATGGTACACAGGTTGTTAAACTAGCTATGCAGTACAACAAATCTATGTTAACGATATACACTGCAATTGTTAAGAAAAAGGACATTATGAGTGCTAAAGTAGCAAAAGGTGTATCAACAATCACGAAATAAAGAACACAAACTCTTAAGGATGTTGAAAAGTTGTTAATTCACCCAGAGCAAGCAGTAGTAGGCCCTTGTGTTAACCTTTTTAATGACAATGTGATGTCTCACTTCAGACAAGTGTTACAACGTAGGGAAAAACAAGTGTCACTAGACAGGTTTTTAGCGAGGAAAAACAAGTAGAGAGCCACAAGCAGGTCCTAGTGGTATGCAGGAAAAACGTGCCAGAGAGTGTACCCCTAGAGAAGTCATCACTGCCTGATGTTATAATGAAAGTGGACTCCCTTTCCAAACACTAACACCTCTCCTAATCCTCCCTCCTCACTGTCTTCCATATGCTAACAAGTCATCAATATAGGTAAGCAATAACTTGTCCATTCTTTAGTACTAAAGATTTGGGTGAATTAGGTATAAAATTTACTTTGAAGTTAATTTTGGGGAGAGTGTGGAACAGATTAATTTACGTTCAGGGAGCCGGTCGGCTGAGTGGACAGCACGCTGGACTTGTGATCTTGTGGTCCTGGGTTCGATCCCAGGCGCCGGCGAGAAACAATGGGCAGAGTTTCTTTCACCATATGCCCCTGTTATCTAGCAGTAAAATAGGTACCTGGGTGTTAATCAGCTGTCACGGGCTGCTTCCTGGGGGTGGAGGCCTGGTCGAGGACCGGGCCGCGGGGACACTAAAGCCCCGAAATCATCTTAAGATAACCTCAAGATAACGTTATTTCTAATGGGAAAAGTAGCTTCAGTTTACAAATTTTCAGCTTACGAACTTATACCTCCGGTTGGTGGTCTGGTGGCTTCATTGTTGGTGTCCCACCTGCGTACTTCTTCTTGGCGGCAGTATAGGGTATTTTAGCGATCCTTCCTTTTCCTCCTGTCCCTTCTTAGGTGGCTGCGGTTGTTAGTGTCGGCTTGGTTTTTGGTGGGGGTTGGGGGACATCGTCTTGCCACATACTGTCGACTCATTTCGTGCAGCGCTGGCTGAGCCTCTTCGGCTTGCTTTCGGTCTTGGTGTTGCTTCTGCACCGTTAGTAAGCTGTCTCGTGCGTTGTTTCATCTCCGGCCTGTTCGTGCGCCGCTTGCACCATCCTGGTCTCTGGTCAGCGTGCTCTGTCTTCTCCTCGGTTGGTGGTGCCCCTTCGGTTCCGGTTTGTTTTTCGTCGGCTCTTTTCCTGTTGGCATTTGCCTCTGGGGGGTCGGGTCGCTGGGCTTCTTGCTCTCCTCCGCAGGGGTTTTCTGCTCCTTCAGTTTTGGTGTTTTGGTTGTTAGGTGTCAGCAGTCTCCATCTTTTTTTGTCATGGGATGGGGCTGCAGCATTCCGGAGGGGTCCTTGCTTTGTTGGTGCTTGGTTGGTCGGGCCGGGGGGTGTGTTTTGTTTTGTGTTCAGTGGCGCCCCTCCGCTGTTAAATGCGTGCCGCGGCCTTTATGTCCGGGGCGCGCTTTGAGTTGATCTGGTTCCGTTCTTCCCTGTTCGCGGGTGACGGTGTCCCGTGTTGTCCACCGTGTTATTGCGGCCAGCCTGCCTTTGTTCTTTCCCCGTGCCCGTGGCGTTCATGGCTTCGCTGCTCTTGCTGCCGTCTGGGCGACGTGTCCTTGCTGTCATTCGGACATGGCTCTTTTGGTGTTCGTACAGGGGCCTTGCTGCTCGTTGTCTCGTGTTGTTCCCGGGCCCTTTCAGGGCTGTGTCGCCTTGGGTTGGCGTTTGCTGCCGGTTGTCTTCTCACTTCCATTGAGGGGTGCGTGGAGTCCACCTCCCAGTTCCGTCCCTTTAACTTTCCTCTGTGGGTAGTTAGCTCAGGGGAACCGACGGGGCTACCCCCAGAAAACCAGCATTGAATGTAATGAAACGCCATTTTCTGGGTGAGACCCGGAGGCTCCCTGGCAACCCTCCCTCCCTCCCTCCGGTCGGCGGTTTTTCGCATGTTTTTGACATTCAGCCTCAGAACTGATGGGTGGATAGCCAGCGTGAGAGGTCTCGGGCTCCCCCTTTCCCCTCCCAGGGAGGGGGGGAGCTGCGCAGACAGCAACGCGGTGACGTGTGACGTCATACTAGTTTGCTTGTTTTCTGTTGGGGAGTTATATCCACTGGTTCGGCCTTTGGTAGCAATTTTAGCTTACCTTTCTGGATGCTTGACCCGGTCGATGGCAGACATAGAATGCTTCCAACCACACGGGGGTTTCTATAGGCCATTGCTCCCCTTGCCTCTCTGAGGGGGCCAGGTTCTGGCCGTGGTCCCTGGTAGGCCCTAGAACTCCATACACATGACTGATGCCAAAGTCTGACATTAGCATATCAGCCTGGTAAAGCTCTGGGGAGCCTCCGGGTCTCACCCAGAAAATGGCATTTCATTACATTCAACGCTGGATTTTTGGAAACACTTGATGTCATGTACACTGGGGGAATTTCACAATAAACACAGCGCATCACAGTGGTTAAATGGGGACATTCGTTTTGTATGACGTCCGTTTCACATGATAAACACGGCGCTGGAACACGGATTAAATTCGTTATTCGAGGTACCACTGTATTTTTATTTTGAATCCCTTATCTCATAGATTCAAAAGTTTCTGTGTCAAATTTAAGTTGATAATGTATTAAACCTAAACTGTATTTTTTGTTCTTGTTCAACCCTAAGTATAAGATTCTCACATGTCTTGTGCAGAGGTCACTAAGTATTGAGTAACAATTTGTTTAATTTAATATTTTGTTTTGTTGTATTTATCTTAAGGTTTAATATGTTAGTGCTACTAACCCCCTGTTGGCCACAGTCTTAAAAGAAGCTGTTTGCACCTTTTTGTTAGAATGTTTGAATGTTCTCATTTATTGGTTATTGCCTTTTTGCACACCGATTAGCTTTGCATATGGTTTCTTTCCTCGTCATGTGGGGATTATCAGCTGTGACTAAATATTTAAATACAAATGTGTCCTCCTTATTAATGTTGATTAAGTTACTTACACTTTAGTATACTGTACTGTAATTTATTGGCTGTTATGTTTCTTTTAATTTAGAGAAAATTTCTATGTATAAGTATACTTTTAAGATTGTAGTATACACACCATCATATACATTCCATTTTTTGTTGTAGAGCACACAAATAAAAACAAAATTATAGATAAGGTTGTGACTGTTGGTGTGTGTTTTTGCAGTGGTTAAATGTGATCAGAGAGGAACGTGAGAAATATGAAACTATTAGATTGCAGTTAATGGTGACTCCAGGCCTTGGTGATGAAACTCTTGATCCATTACTGAACAATCCTCTGTCTCAACATGAGCAGGTAAGAAAATATAATTGAAGTCACTTTTCAGTAAGGGACTTTCCTTATTAGTTTAGTGAATTCCTTTCAGAATGAATTATTTTTTAATATCTTTCATACATTGCTTTACTTTTCCATCCCAAGATATTTGTCATCTGCCTGTACTATATATTGATATGTGGCCCAGCAAAATACACTCCTCTCCCACCTATTAAGAGTCGAACAAGTCCTTGAAGATGCCTAGTTTCATTTGATTATACTCGAGAGGCAAGATGCCAAAAATTTGAATTGCTCAAGTTTTAAGTTCCGTGGGGAAGTTGTTATACAGAGCTTTGCAGCAAACTCGGGTAAAAGGCAATGAAATCCCACCAAAATAGTCCAGATGCGAAGACACTGAGTCTCCCAAGTTTTGGAGACTGTGATATGTTAAACATGGGTGTGTGACCAATCAGAGTTCTGATTGGTCACACACCCACATACCATGTCATGTCACTGACATGACATGGTATGACATCAGTGCCCGAGCACTGAGCGGGAAAGCAGTGTGCCGTCACTGGTTCCCAGAACATCAAGGTAACAGGTTGCATCACTCATAGGTCCCGCAAGGCAAGATTTGATGTGCAAGGAGGGCCAACTAGTCTGGGAGTACTCTAGAGATACAGTAGAGGAGTCACCGAACAACTTCTGGAGGTAGTACTGGAGTGCTGGACCATTAGAAGTGGTCACAAGAGGCTCAGTAGCATTGGTGGATTCCTAGTGTTTCAAAAGGCGGTGCTGGGGGGTCGAGATTCGACTCGTGGGCCGTTCCTGGGTTTAGATACTACTAAAAGACTATTGGGGCAGTCCTGGTCGACGTGTGCTTGGCAGTGGTGCAACCCTGGTGGAAGGAACTACCGGGTCACGTCACATCTACATGGGAGAAGGCAAAGACAAGTGAGCAGCATGGAAGTTTGGCGAAAGTCTGGGAGACCCTCATCATACAACCTATCCTCTTAAAAAGAACGTCGCTTTTGGCCGTTTGCCCGTATGGCCGAATTTGGACGTAATTTGAAAATGAAAAAAAAATGAAAATAAATTTGGGATTTTTTTTTTCAACAACACTAAGTTAAGGGTCCTCTGATAGGTTAGGTGGGCAGGAAATTCTCATAAAGTTTCAAAACATTATGAAAAACGTTAATTTAAAGTGTCCTCTCATAACCTCTGCGCGTACGCCGAATGACTCAAATAGAAAATGGAACAAAACGTCGCTTTTGTGAGTCGATTTCATTTCAAATTACGTCCAAATTTGGCCATAGTGCACATACGAGCGAAAAGTGACATTATTTTTAAGAGGACGGGTTGCATCATATCCCAGGTTACTCCACAAGCAGAGGAGTACCAGTGGTGACTGTCTTGGAAGGTCAGCCATCAGCTGTTACATCACAGAGGAGAGTGAAGCGATCAACTGTTGTGATGTGAAGGGAGAAGAGAGGAAGGAAGTTTACAGGAATCAAGAAAATGACCTGAGGAATTATTCACCAACCTCAACCATCTGCTGAGACAGCAGTAGACATTCTACAGAGTATAAAGATAGATCAAATATCCTCCCCATTCCCTTTGTGACGGATGTTGGTCTAAATTGTTCCTGAAACACAGAATAATATTCTTGTAGCCAGCAACCCAGTATATTTATTTATATGTGTAAACCTGTTGGTACACTTGTACGTCTTTATTTAAAACAATTGTGAGTTAATTCAGAGGAGATCAAGACAACCACTTTATGAGTAAGAGTAAAGTAAACTTCTATTTGCTGGAGAATACGTGAATACTTGATAGAGTAAAGAACCTCTTGAAATCTTGTCTTATTTGTTGAGCGTGTATGCTCACATGAGAGAAGATGTTATATTTAGATTATAGTTTACTATTCATTATCTTTTTTTTTTGTTTTTTTTTTGTTTTTTTTAGATATATACAAGAGTTGTTACATTCTTTTACAGCCACTAGTACACATAGCATTTTGGGCAGATCCCTGGAATATGATCCCTGCCGTGAAGAATAGTTTTTACAACCAAGTACACATTTTACTGTTGAGTTAAACAGAGGCTACAGTTAAGGATTTGCGCCCAGTAAATCCTCCCCGGCCAAGATACGAACCCATGACAAAGAGTTCGCGGAACGCCAGGCGAGTGTCTTACCACTACACCACGGAGACTGGTGTTGGCATTTAATTTTCTATCTTAGTATGACAAAGTTTCAACATTTGTGCTAGTAAAGCCTAATATCTGCTACTGAGAGATGCCTAAACGGTTTAGCCATTTTACATTCGAATCCAACTGAAGAGTGTTGTAATATTTAACAGTTATTTATTATTATTTGTCAAGTGTACAATCATTTATGTAAATATTTACATATTTTAAATAATGTGTAGAAAATTATTTCAGTCTTCACTCTCCATATTGTTTGCCTGAGGCCAAGTAAGAATATTGAGTATGACCAAGGAATTTTAGGCAATGTTTTTTTTCAGTGATTGATAGAAAATTATCTGGCAATAAGTGATATACTAGCCAGATTTTCGACCTTAGGCTTTAGACTTTTGTGGTGGCTAAATCAGTAGCATGCTCTTGTTAGTGCCAGTTTATGAAGAGATTAGAGATCAGGGAGTTGCTGGTTTTACCTCACTCCTCACGGAAGACAAGGCTAAGTGTGTGATGCTCTCCGTGAGTGACTGAGGTACCCCTTAACACTTTGAGCGGTGCGGCGTGTGCGCCCCAGCCCACCCCAAGGTGGGCCGAGTGTGCACCCACACTAAAATGTGTATACTCTTTTAAGTTTTCTCACCTTAATTTTTGTATATGTCGTTCATTTTGGTATCAAATTGTTCGTAATAGAATTCTCTAAAAGAATATATGCATATAAGGTCAAAAAGCCCGGCATACCATACCATACCGCACCAAACCCAAAAATCGGCAACTGCACTCAATTGTGTAAATTCTTTTCAAGTTCTCTCGCTAATCGTCACACCCGCAACACCCGCACTCAAATGCGAACACAACTGGCTCGTGCACCACTTGGGGTGTGCGAGCAAGGAGTAATATTGTATGGTACTCGGGCTGTATGCACCTAAGGTTACCTTCCCCAGGTGCCTAGTAAGTACTGCCCTTGGGGCTTGGGGCATCCTTCCATAAGTCACCTTGGGGGTCTTCCCAAGGTGGTTTTTATTGCTCAGTACTTGGCTGCCCTTGGAGTGAGCTAGTGTATTGCTGCCCTTGTTTGTCTCTGGGTAGGAGGTAGTTTTTGTCACTGGTAGGGGCGCAGGATACTTGACAGCTAGTTATCACCTGTTATAGCGGCCAGCTCTGTTCTGCCTGGTTACGTTGCCCTCTCGTGGGGTTTTTCTTTTGTTTTTGTTTTCCTGCTAGGTGGGGGGGAGGGGGATCTGCCTTTGGTTGCCCGTTGGTTCTTTCTCTTATATTTATTGTTTTTTGATGGTACCCCCTGCTTGGCTCCCATGAGTGGACATGTCCTGGGGGTTCAGCTTTAGAAGTTCGCTTGGTAGTTTTTGGGTGCCGGTTCGCAGTACCAGGAAAGCCTGGGCTTTCCTTAGCGTGTTACCAAGGCTAAGGACCCTGGGAAACCCAGCAGGGGCAATGTGGTCTGATGGATGTGACCCTTGAGTCCCCTCTCGCTTCGTGCAAGGTTGATGGGTAGCTCTGTCCCCTTGTCTCGGGGTGACACTCACCGGTTTTGCCTGTGCCATGCTGCCTGTCGGGTTGGTGATTCTCTTGACTTGGAGTCGTGTGATGTTTGTTCTTTCCACATGCTCCAGTTCACCCAAGCTACTGAATATGATATAAGGGTGCATGCAGGCAGCACAGGTGTTGCATGCTCAGTTTAGGTTGCTGCAACGCGATAGGTTGGTTGCTTCCCAGGATACCCCGAGACTGCCCCGTTTTGGTTATAGGGACCCGGATTTGGGGGTGGGAGTCACTTTGACTTTGATTCCATCCGCCACTCCTTGTGGTTCATCCAGTTCCTCTCCCCCCCCTCCCTTGCTTCCGGCTCCGAAACGTCTAAGGGGTTTCGAGATCGGGGCCAGGTTTAGTTGGTGTTTAGACTCGGGCGGTCTCGAGGAAGTCCCCTTTCATGAAGGCGGCGGAGGCATTCGAGCATGGTGCTCCAGCCGCAGCTTCTGGGTCTGACCAGTGGGCCTTGGGGGCTTTGGAGAAGGCTCTGCCCTGGGATCTAGTGGTGAGGTTTCCCGGGGTGGGGGGAGGGGTTAACTCTGGGGCCTTGGGGCCCATTGGACCCCGCCTGGGTTTTCCTACCCTCTGAGCGGGGGCTTGGTGTTACAAGGAGAGAGGTTCTCTTATGCTCCTTCCTTGTACGAATTGGACTTGGCATCTAGCCCCCCATCCCCCTCCCCGGGTTCGGTTCCGTGATCCTGTGGGTTCCTCGGTCCTGTCCCTCCGGAGGTTTTCGGCTTCCCACGTCTCTTCTCATGTGGTGTGGGAAGCCCTAGAGGCTTACTTCCTGCGCGACTCAGATTATGCTTTCATGATGGATCCGCGTTCCTTCGTGTATGGATCTTCGTGTCCGTACTGGGTTCGTTATGAAGTTCTGGAGTCATCGTAGTTGGCAGACTGCCTGCTCTTTTCATTGGAAGCTTGACATACGTTCTGTTGGACCCGCTCGCTTGAGTGGAGGGAGGCTCAGACGGCGTTTCAGGTTTTTCTGGAGAGGCGAATTTGAGCATCTCAATGCTTGTTTGTTTGCCCCCTGCTCTTACGCATGATTTAGGTGTTGTGGGATATCTGGGGCTTGACTCAATTATTTGATTAGTATCCACTCAATTTAACGGCCTATATGGGGCTGTACCCTGGTCGTTATTTCTGGAGTTCTGGTATTTCCGAAGTTAAGATGTCGGTAATTTTTCAAGTAACATTCAGGTAGTTGTCTCCACTCGACTATCCGGACTATATGGGAAGGACCCCCAGCCGGATTATCACATGTTCCGGATTATAGTACTTTTTCACCTCTGAGTC